AGAATAACGTGATATATTTTAATTTTATCTGAAAAGAAGTAAAAGACAGAAAAATCTGCAATACAGAACAATTATTTGGAACGTGATATTCTATGATAATCGTGTTGGCAAATGATTAAAATAATCTGTACGAGACGCGCATTAATGTACAAGACTCTCAAGGTGAGTCTTCACTTAAGCGCAAGGAAATGAGACGCAAATCTGTCGTAATTAAGAACCAACGCGTGCGTAGGAAGATGGAGGAAACGATTAAGGGATATATAGGTCCAGGAGCACGGAGGCTGTGGGGGTCGTTCGGCCGACTGGAAGTTTAACGAACTCGAACAAAGAGAAAGAGCCTTCAAGCAACGGGGGACGAGGATTGACGAATGGGGTGCTGGCGCTAGCTCTGCCTCCGCCACGCTAGAGCGGAGGGTGCGCTCGTACATTTTCTCTCTCTCTCTCTCTCTTCCTCTTTTCTCTCTCCTTCTCCCTCTCTCTCGCTCTCTCTCTGCCTCAGCCATCACGGAATAGCGGCGAGCCCCCGTGTATTACGAGTTAGCCACCCCCGCGTGCGTAGGAAGATGGAGGAAACGATTAAGGGATATATAGGTCCAGGAGCACGGAGGCTGTGGGGATCGTTCGGCCGACTGGAAGTTTAACGAACTCGAACAAAGAGAAAGAGCCTTCAAGCAACGGGGGACGAGGATTGACGAATGGGGTGCTGGCGCTAGCTCTGCCTCCGCCACGCTAGAGCGGAGGGTGCGCTCGTACATTTTCTCTCTCTCTCTCTCTCTTCCTCTTTTCTCTCCCCTTCTCCCTCTCTCTCGCTCTCTCTCTCTGCCTCAGCCATCACGGAATAGCGGCGAGCCCCCGTGTATTACGAGTTAGCCACCCCCATAACACTACCCCTTGGTGCTGTATCGATCCATCGCAGTGCCGGCTTCGAGCTCTCCCTCCACAGCGCCGAAGTCTCCGGCGCTGTGCGACGCGACGCGTCGCGTGGCGGGATTGCTTGAACAAAGGAAACTGCGATGCTGTCATGGAACCTTGGAGATGTTTCTTTGTTTTGGCGATGTTTATCGGGACCCGCGAGAAGGAGCGTTGCCATAGACTAATTTTTCCCGTGTGTATCTTCCTTTTATATTTCTGAAATTATATTAAAGTAATTAACTTATTATATGATAAGTGTTTTCACAATTATTATTATATTAAATATTTTTGACTCAAGAAAACTCGAAGATGTCATTATTGAGTAAGACGATATTTGACTGTTGTACATACAATCTTGTTTCCAATAGTGCTAGTTTTGTTTAGTTTTTTCCCACTAAGATAATGTTCATTTAAGGATTATTGGCCAATGTAGAATTTTTAATAATGATTTAATAATTTAATTGATAATTAAGAATGTTGGACCAAACAAGATTGCGCTTAAAAACTTCTAAAAATTTATCTGTTTTAAGAAAGATTGTTGAATTAAATCATATAAATAGTAAAGATCTCTAAACAAGGCATTAATAAAATTTTAATAAGATTATATTTTACCAAACTACGATATGTATGAATTTTATATGTTATATATGAAGTTTATATGTTTTATATCACATATAGTCGTGGCAGATAAAGAATCATCTAGCGATACATAAACATATATATAATTTAAACATAGTTCACAAGGACATTATCCAAGCTTCGACTTTAACATTACCATCTCGAATAGTCTAAATGTATGCTAACGAATTTCGACCAACTTTTGCATTCAATTCAAAGTATACAGCTACGATTTCCATTCTGTTCAAATATTAAAGAGTCTCCTCATCGCAGTACGAATAAAGAGACCACCGAGCAGACAGACGCGCACTTTGCTTAATCTGCTTTGTTTGGTGTCGTCAAGGAAGTTTTGCGGTTTGTTTTCAGATTTTGCAGAGAAAAGATAGCTAGCTTATTCTATATATTTATTTAAGATCTGGGAAAGTCACTTATATATTATGTAATATTTTTTTTTTTTTAATAAAAAATTACAATTATCTGGCAAATATCTTGATTACTGGCATTACGTACGCAAGTAACGTCACATGTTGAATCGAACTTATTGATGAACATTTATAAAAATTGCATTTCAACGGAAAAAGCGATCGTGAACTTTAAAAGTATATATACATACAAATCTAGAATACGTCTGTAAAAGAGGTAGATAGTAAATATTTCTCGTTATCTCGTAGATCTTTTTTGCTGTACACCTAATATGTTAACGTTGAGACGCGCTTTAAGCAGGACGGACGATCGCACTTGACTGCATTAATATGCTTATCTTTTGGATAACATGTTGAATACAATACGAGCGTGATACGAAATATAAGCGCGGGTTATCTCGCGCTCGACCTGACGTTTTGTCGGAACGAGACAAATGGATCCTTTTAGAACATTGACTACCGGCAACGTACTTGCCAACCGCCACTCCGCCGGCGGAATTGTTTTGTAAGCTTAAAGCGCCGGCCAGGGGATGTTTTGTTCGGTTCAACGGCTCGAGCAGCTCCCTTGTTCCGCGTCTCTCGCTGCAGAATTGACTTGTCGTCGCGTACGATACTTCCGCTTGAATCCTGCGCTCTAACTTTCGTTAAAAAGGAAAGCGCGCTCGTTAAGCATTAAGAAAAATTAACCTAATTCTGACGTTAAAGCGCGAAGGACAGGTGATTGTAATATAAAAAAATGAGCCATCATAATGTAAGTCCCTTTACGTGCCACTGTGATATGGGAACGTGATATCACAAAGGCTTTGTGTAACGCCGATACAAATATTGTATTAAAAATAATTCTAATAATTTTCACAAATATCTCCCCAAAAATTTTTTGCCTGATACATTTTTTTTTTATTCATAGAAGTTTATATATACTGTCGAGCGCTCGTTGCATGTTTATATTTTATATAGGATTTATATTTTTATATTTTTTATCGATGTTTACAAAGGATCGTTCTATTCTTGAAACATGGAATTCTATTCTATATTTGATTTTATTTAAATTTTTTGTTTTTTAATAACGCTTCGGTGTGTATATATATGGATGATAATCGCCATCGAAAATTCTAAAATAATCCGAACAAACGCGGTAATATTTTTCTTGTCGTGTCAATAACATTGGGCAAATAGCGACGTGATTCTGATATTTTTATATCAGTCTTTGGTTACACACACGGTACTATATATCGGAAAGAAGAAAAAAGGAGAAAAAGGGCTATCTTACGGTGGCGAACGAAGGCATTATTCATAAAGGAACGAGGGAGTAGTATATCCAAGAGATACTACACTCGCCTTAGCAGACCCATTAAAGCACCCTCGTTGAGCTTAAATCACCCTTTCGCGCGACGTTCTTGCATAGAAGAGAGAAAAGGGATCCTCTTATCTCTTATCTTACTTAATTAAATGTCTCGAATTTCGGACAAAATGTCCAGCAAAACATGATTAGTCGAACGTCAAATCACGCGACGAATTCATGTGTAATTTCGAGAGAAACAACGGGCAGAAATTTCAAACGAGAGACTCCTCATTAGATGTTCGCTTCCTTTTTACGCCTCGAAGCTCCGCGCGCAAATAGCGTTACACGTCTCATTAAACGAACAGACCGCCTCTGCTCTAAACGCATTATCTACGTGGCACAATTAACTACGGATCAGCGATTAGAGATGGCAGTCTGGGGATGGCAATATTCTGGCGAAAGAACCTTTCACCTTACTTAATTTTATCTCGCCTTTAATGGAAACAACGGTTAATCGTTTTTCCGCGTACATACATTACTTAGAATAAATTTATTTCTGCTTTTTTTGGGAACAAATGGTAATTTGGATTTCTTATAATGTCGAAGATATTTTTGTGGAATTATATATGTATATATATATATATATAAATTGATTCGTTTTCAGAAAGAGATCTTACGATTAGATTGCCAATCAAGACAGTGAGCGCATATCGTCAACTGAAATTTGCACTCGCTGAGAAATCGTTTTCTTTTAATTTTTCCCAATAAATATAAATTAATGTAATGTATATGTATATTATAATTAACAAATATGTTGTGTGTAAATTTTATGTATGTATATATATTATAGTTCAAAAACGAGATTATCGCGACTTTCCTCGCTTGATATTGATCACAATGCATGCCGTCTGAAAGAACTTTCTTACGCCATCGGCGATGCACCTTCGAGCACTCGTTCTTTTTACATTCCCTCTTTC